TATCACTTTTCCGGCGTTAGTGACTGCGTTGTTGCTCGGGTTGCTCTCAGCAGTGTCCTTTCTAAATGTCACACCGTCAACTCTCCAAAGTAGACATCAGTTAGGGTTTCTTTCAGGATCCAGTTCTGCTCTTATCGTCAAGGCCATTACATCCCATTTGGAGCTCTCGGGCGTTTTGACCTCTTGTGCTTTCATCGCTCTTGGTTATATTCTAGTTCATCTAGACCTTAAATCGATAAGACCAGAAATCCCTGGACTTTCCCATATAACACACGTACAAGGAGATCATGTTTACCGCCATCACCACCATAATACCCACCATCACGGCGGAGAGAGCCGCCCATCTCATGCGACGAGATGGCTTTTGAATATGTGCGAGCACTGGTCTTTTATGTACGGGATCATCAAAGAAAAGGATTCAAGGAGGATATTTTATTTCATGTGGTCAGTTTTTTTCCCAAGACCAAAATAATATACAGTCCAAGTTTGTAGGGACACACTAACACTTATTTGTCTGCTACAGTCTCAATTTTGTATTCATGCTCATCCAGATGTGCTACGGAATCATAACAGGTTCTCTTGGTTTGCTGAGCGACAGCATTCATATGTTATTTGATTGTTTCGCTCTCGCAGTAGGTCTGTCTGCCGCGGTGATGAGTAAATGGCCACCAAGCGTAAGGTTCCCGTATGGGTACGGAAAAGTAGATACATTAGCTGGTTTTGCCAATGGCGTGTTTCTCATGTATGTCGCTTTATACCGGTGCTGGGGCGCCACAAACCTTCTAGTAACTGACAAATTATTACAGGATTATAAGCATCGAGATCATCTACGAGGCCATTGAGAGGCTCACGTCTGGCAGTGAAGTTCATAGAATTCAGGAACTCCTCTTCGTGAGTGCTGCGGGGCTGGCAGTCAACATGGTGGGCATTGTTGCTTTTGGTCATGGTCATCATCACGGTCATTCCCACTCCCATGGTGGCCATGACCACGGTCCGGGTCATCTACACACACACCACTCCAACGAAAACATGCACGGGATATTCCTCCACATCCTTGCTGATACCCTTGGATCCGTAGCTGTGGTTATCTCCACGATCCTGGTGCATTACTACAAATGGCCTGGGTTCGACCCCATTGCCTCCTGCCTCATAGCCATTCTCATTTTTGCCTCTGCTATCCCACTCGTGGCAAGCACGTCGAAAACTCTGCTGCTCGCACTTCCCGCAGATGTCGAGTATACCTTGCGCGATGCGCTGGCTGGCGTGAGTACTTTGCGTGGGGTGGTAGGATATACAGTTCCGAAATTCTGGCTCGATGATACAGTGCACGATCATAAAGAAAAACACTACCACCACAGCCACCACCACCACCACCACCATGACAACAACCATAGCCATCATACCCACAGCCATCCTCCTGACGGCAGCGGTTGCGGCAGCGACAAGCACGAGCACGAGCACGAGCATGAGCACTGTGCCGGGCAACGAATCCTAGGAGTGATACATGTAATCGCGTCGCACGGGGCAGACATAGAAGACGTCCGGCGAAGAACGATCAGCTACCTGGGCGCAATGAACATCGATATCTTGGTACAGGTTGAGCGCGAAGGGGAGAGCCGCTGTTGGTGTGGTAGTGGTAATAAGCCGACAAGTTGACAAACTAGAATATTTTGAGAGCGAGTGCAACGGTTATCGATGGTAATTTCTTTGTCTCATATTACCCTATTGTTTTATTTTTATTTATATATATAATGTTATTTTTCATATATCATTGGTTTCCCGTTTGCGCTGTGCTGCGTAATTTCTCTCTCTCTCTTTTTTTTTTTTTTTTTTTTTTGGGTTGCACTTTTTACGTCATTTTGTCATATTTTCTCGTGTGCTTTGAATATGCCATGCACTTCAGTCGGCTTGGTCAATGGTTGTCTTGTCTACAGCAGCATATACTTACATGTTATATCTATATTTATATTTCGGTACTAAAAATCCAGCAATATTTTTGTCATTCCTGCACGATACCATCGCTTGACTCAGAGTAGAGAACGCGTATAGTGCCTTCATTAACAATGTCATTAGTCCTAGACGTCAATGTCCACATAGCTAGACTGAGATATCATATATACGTAGTTCTATGTAGAACGTTTGAGAATGAATGAATTGAGATTAATGACTTTCAGAAGGAGGCTTTGTGAAACCAGACGTGCGTGGAAGCGAACATAATCTAGTATATAAAGTTTTAAATAGAGAGGTTATGAAAGTCGTGGTGTAGCGGGAAGAACTGAAATCAGCTTCAGCTACGTTTACCAAGTCGTCATGCATGCCGTTTTATTAACTACGTGCCTCCTACTGTAAAATAGCCCACACAAAATATAGTGTAGGCCACAAGGAAGCAATTGGAAGAAAGCAGACTTTGCAAACCAACAAAATTAAGTCTATATAAACCTGGATACATGAGTCGAGCGGCAATGTCTGACTGGATGAAACGTATATACAATGAACATGGATAATAAGTGCAGCACGCCGAACAGTCGTGATATGATAGAGCGCGAAAACGTTTTAAATCGCCCGGAGTTATATCACAGCAGAATCATATAATACATTGTTATGGAACAAGAACCGATTAAACGCGCACCATCTTTTACTCGACGCTCTCCAACCTCTGGACGATGACGGCAGTAGCCGCGCCACCGCCGTTGCAGATGGCAGCGAGACCGTACTGGCCTGGCTTCAGCTGGTGGAGGAGGGTGGTGAGAATCCGCGAGCCGGAGCTTCCTAGGGCGTGACCAATGGAGATGGCGCCACCGAGGGGGTTGACGACGGCATTTTCAAGACCGAGGATCTATAGAAAGAGGGAAGTGATTAGATTTTGTTGCTTGTTGATAGTAGATGGTCCAGAAAAAAAAAAAAAAAAAAAAAAAAAAAAAAAGGCAAAGGATTACAAGACATACCTTCTCGTTGGCTTTGATCACGGAAGCAAAGGCCTCGTTAAATTCCCAGATGGAGATCTGGTCCTTGGTCAAGCCAGCGCGCTCAAGGGCGATAGGAACGGCCTTGGCGGGGGCGATGGGGAAGTCCACGGGATCAAGGGCGGCATCAGCGGAGGAGACGATGCGGGCGAACACCCTGTTTCCAGAGCCGTACTTCTGGGCCAGTTCTTTATTCGTAAGGACGAGGGCAGAGGCTCCGTCGTTGAAGGTCGAGGCGTTGCCAGCAGTGACGGTGCCCGTGCCATCGCGAACAAAGGCAGGCTTCAGGGTCTTCAGCTTATCCTCGCGCAGGTTTTCGAACCCGTCATCCCTGGAGACGGAGGTGTCGCCCTTTTTCCCCTTGACGGTCACGACGGCGATTTCGTCTGCGAACTTATCTTCGGCCCAGGCTCTCTGGGCCCGCTTGTAGGATTGGATGGCGTACTCGTCCTGCTGCTCGCGGGAGATGTTGTATTTCTTCGCGGTCTGCTCCGCGCAGACACCCATGTGGAATTGCTCGTAGACGTCCCACAGGCCATCCTTTATGAGGCCGTCTTCCATCGTGACATTGCCGAAGGGGGGTTGCTGGCTGGCCCGTGCTACGTAGTAGGGGACCCTGGACATGTTTTCCATGCCGCCGGCGACCTGTGCCTCTGCCAGACCCAGTTGGATGTTCTGGGCGGCGAAGACGACTGCTTTCAAACCCGAGGCGCAGACTTTGTTGATCGTGATGGCCTCGACGGAGGAGGAGAGGCCAGCGAAGAGGGCGGCTTGACGGGCGGGGGACTGGCCGACGGAGGCAGACAGGACGTTGCCCATGTAGACGTCTTTGATTTTCTCGACGGGGACACGGGATTTTTCGATGGCGGCTTTGATGGCTACGGCACCAAGCTCGGGGGCAGAGACGGAGACGAAGGCGCCATTGAACTGCGACAGGTTAGATATCTTGAATTTGCCTTCCTTTCTTGACTTTTTTTTCTTTTTCTTTTTCTTTTTTCTTTTCTGAGATATATATAGACAGATATGTATGTATGTATACCTTGGCTGTGGGAGTGCGGGCGGCACTGAGGATATAGGCGTCTTGTATTTGCTGGGGACAGGATCTGGAGGAGCTGAAATGTCTCTGGACCTGGCCCAGTCTCTGGGAGGATCTGGAGATTGACGAAGCCTGGGGGACAAGTCTGGAGGCAGCGCGGAGGGAGGACGGCATTGTGTATGTGGTGTCTAAAGGTGTTTGTGTCCGGTATAGACGGGCGGACGCGAGGGCGCGGCGCAGGGATGAATCGGATGAATCGAACGGGGGTATATATAGAGGAAAGCAGGGGAATGCGAGAGAAGAAAGATATATATATATATTAATATAAATGCACGAACAATACAGGATAGAAGAAGAGAAGAGGCGAAGAGAATGATATTATTTGTTGTCTGGATGTAACTATTCAGCCGGTTGGTTGGTTGGTTGGAGTCGGCCCAAACCCGGGATTTCTCGCGGGGCCAAAAGAGCAGGCAAAAAAAGAGCAGGCAAAAAAAGAGCAGGCAAAAAAAGCGTGGGCAGAAAAGAGAGTGGGCAGAAAAGAGAGTGGACAGTCGACAGCAACCAAGCAACCAAGGTAAAAGGCAAGTATTCACCAAGTATTCACCAAGTATTCACCAAGTATTCAAGAGCTGTAGCCAAGTGACAGGCTGCTGTTGTCACGTGCCTTCCCTGACTCATTCCTTGATGCAGTTGGCTGCTGATGGGCTGGCCGCGGCTAAGCGCGTCACGGGGTTGGTCTTGGCTGCTGGACAGCTGCGGCCGAGGCGGCGTCGGAGTAACCATAGCCCGGCTGAGTCAGCAAACCGTGAGCCGCACTAGTTAACTTGATGGTTAACAGCCAGCTCCTTATGGCAAGTTGTGCCGGGCCGGAGCATTGATTACTCACTCACTGGTGACCAACTTAGTCAACCAACTAACTAATCAACGGTTGACTAAACCAGTTCCCACCTTAAAACGTTAACCAGCTAAATTAGATAAAAATCACCCAAGTACTTTCATCCATGGTCTCCTGGATCTTCTCCTCCTTCTGTGACCGGACAACCATCGCCTTTGGGATATCGCTCCAATACGCTGAGCACCCGATTACTCGGACCTCATTCCCTCCCCGCCTGCCAGTTCAATCCCCCCCGTCTCTCGCCCATCCGTGCACCGTCCAAGCCATGTCCACCGCTGCTCGCCGCCGCTTGATGCGGGATTTCAAGGTGCGCCTTGCCGTGATATATATCTATCTATCTACATACCGCATATATACGCACATGTTGATCTTCCGGGCTAGAAGACCTCGCTAACCCTCTTTCCTCCCACAGCGCATGCAAACAGATCCCCCAGCTGGTGTCTCCGCCTCTCCAGTCGCCGATAATGTCATGACCTGGTAAGCTGCCAGCCAGCCTGCCTGCCTGCCTGCCTGTTTGTCGATTCGCCCATGTCTTCTTTTTCATCTGTTCCCCCTTTTCCCGAGCATATATAGCATATGTACCTTTTGCCCTTG